AATGTCTGCCGCAAGCCCCCTTGTTCAAGCAAGAATTAAAGATAATGGGCGAAGTTATAGGTTTAATTGGATTTCTCCCACCTCTTCATTCTGGCTGCCAATTTCATTCCTCTTTTATTCTTATCCTTTCTTTCTTAGCAGCCAGAGTGGTTTAATCACTGATGGTCAGTCATACTTCACTCAAAATAATGCTATTTGCACTGTGCAAGTCAGATAGGAGCCAAAGTAATTATTGCAGCTTCTGTGCTTACCTAGAAATAAATTCAAACTGGGATCTGTTCTCCCTGTACTGTCCAAAGAATTTAGGTATTACCACAGGCCCACTAAAGCTTTCCAAATTCTGATCTCCTGTGTTGTGTGGGCTACAAAGATCGTGCATCTAAGAGTGAAAGGGAAGGAGGGATTGCCTTGTGAAGAAAAATGGTGCTTGGGTCATTCACTCCAAGCACAGTCAGTAATTGGCTTCAGATTTGTTTTGTTCTGGGGAGATTTTAATTAAGCTTTTTTTTTTATATGCTGTTTAATAAACATTGGTCCATAAGCGGTATCTTGTGATCCCCATCTGTAAAGCAGGAGGATTAATTTGCATGTTGTTGTTGTTTATTATTTATTTAAGTAGCAACAGAAATTATACTGAGTGTTTTACTAAAGCAGTGGTGGTTGATCTCTGCACTGGAGAATATGGTGTCTAAAAGTACATGTAGCATGAGCATTATTTTTTTTTATTTTTATTTTTTTTAACAGCCTGGGTTGGGAGAACATGGAGGAGAACTCTAACATAAACTGCTGTTATATAAGGTCAGGAAAAAAGCCCAGTACTCTTTTTTACAATAGTGCGCAGAAGTAGATTGGTAGGGATAACATTTAAGAAATTGGAGTAGTCTCCCAGCTTCTAGCAATCACAGTTTTGCAGTCTCTTTAGGTTGCTTCATTTTGTTCCTTGCAGACTTTATTTTCATCATTTTATCTCAGGAGATAAATATGTACTGTAAAGAGGTAAGTAGAAGATAGGAATGACTATATTGGGTTTGATATGGGTATCGTGCAGTCCCTGAAGAAGGCTTCAACTGAATGCCTAGAGAAGAGCAAGAGCAAAGCAAGGATATGATGCTTCCCTCTAAAACTCTTCAAGCCTCCAGCAGTTTTCAGCTCAGGGACTTCCTGAGCCAGATGTCTCTACGTATTTGGTAACCCTCAAAGGATCTGTCTTTTATGAATGGGTGTAGTCTTCACTTTGAGCCCATGTAAACTTTCAGCATTCAAAACATCCTTTGGCAAGGAGTTTCAGACGTATGCTAGGTCCATGACTAGAGAACTTACCTGCCTTTTGTTTTGAAGTTTTCTTCTACCAGCTTCATTTGGTGCCTCCTAATTGTTGGGTTGGGCATTATGATTTTGTAGCTTTCTGTCACATTCTCACTTCATTGTCTCTTTTCCAGACTTGAAGAGTTCTAGCTAATTATTCTCTTTGGATGGAGATTGTTTCATGCCTTTGGTCATTCTTGTTGCAATTCTCAGAACCTTTGTGTTTGACCCCTTCAGATAAATCTAAGAAGTGTACAGAGTGCAACTTTATTTGCAAAAGCCATGTTGATGTTTCCTTATTCTGGTCTTCCTCTTGCTTGTACTGATTTATCTAGAACAGTCATCAGTCCTTTACAGTTTTAAATTCATCAGATCTCTTCTTTTTCTAAAAGCCATAATCCAGGTACCAAAGCAGCTCTAAGTTACATGTTACACACCAAGATTAGTAATACAGCTATTTCTTTCTTGAGCCCATTTAGACCTATGGGGTGATACCATATGGTCCTGAACATTACTTGTCAGTTTTCTGCATGGTCTCATCGGTTTCAGATATGCTCTTTGAGTCCCTCCCAAAGGGTTCCAGCATGGGAACATCCCAAGATTTTTCCATGGTGCACTACAGTGCAAAAAAGTCATCAGGCTTCTCTCTGACGACCCTATTTTCTCTGAATTTCCTTTTATACCATGATCATCACTTGGCACGTCAGACTGTATGGTAGACCTCCTGCTCCTGATGTGTTTGAAAAATGATTTATTACTCATCTGATTCCCTCCCCTAACTGTTCCTCCAGCTCTTTCTGGCCTGCCTTATTTCATTTATTGCACTTAAAGTGCTAGAGTTTATATAATCTTGTCTGTTTTCTTCCCTTTGACTTGATTTTTGGCTTTTTGAAGGATGGCTTTTTGCTTCTAGTAACCTGCTATGAGCCATGTTGATGTCCTTTTGGTCTTCTCAGGCCTTTCTTAATAGGTGGTGAACACCTGTTCTGTGCTTGTCATGTGCTGGTGGTTAAGCAGCTTTGATGCTGCCAGTCAGGTTTTAATTCTCTAGCTGTCTATTATGATTTCCTTTTAACAAGATTTCCCCTTTTTTATGTAGTTACACTTTTTGAAGTTAAGCATAAGTGTAGTAGCCCCTTTAGTTTTTGTTGCTCCTGTAGGGATGCTCAGTTGAAGTGCGTTATGGCCACCGATACCTAGTGGTTCTGCAACAGAGAACTGGATTACTCAAGCTGCTCAGGACTAAGCCAAGCGCCGTGCCTCCTCGTGTAGGCACCTGGACTGGCAGCTCTGTAGAACAACAACCTTTGGCGGTTATCTGATACCTTGGTATCTGCATTATATTCCACTTGCTCAGTCTGCATGCGATTTGTAGAAATCTCTCTTTACTGTTTTTATTCCTTGCCTTTGCTGATCTCTCTCAGTATGGTGCTGTTGGGGTCACCATAGTCTGGCCATGCATGACGGTCCCAGTGCTTGTTCATGCTGAACCAGATCCATGTGGTTTGTAACTCCAGATCTCTGCTGCTCCTTGAGGTGGGGTTGTCTTTCAATTTGTTTCTAAACTCACTGTGGCATATAGTGGTGCCTCACTGTCAGATATCTTCCCTGTGTGTTTGATGTCCCAAGATGATACAAAATAGCGTCCCACTAAGTGTCTCCGTTTTACCAATGTTCCACTATGACTGCTCTGTCAGTGCTTTTGTTTGAGGTTTGGTTTTCTAGTGCTGCAGATTTTCCTTCTATTCCCACTCTTTATATGTTGCTTGAACTATGTGTTCTCCTAAACCCTTCTCTTCAGTTAGAAATCAAGAAAGTGAATTTTTAAGGTGCCAGCAACCTTGTTCCTATGTTCAAGTGAGCTCCAGCTCTCCTGTACAAATATCATTATTCCAGAAATGCTCCAGTTCCTGATGAATCTGACTTCTTGCTCCTACACCATCTTGTCAGCCAGGCATGTAAACTGTATCTCGCCTTCTCACTCCAGTAGCCCATATTTTGCTGTCAGGATCTCTTTCCTTTTCTTCCTCATGTTACTGGGACCCAGATGGACCACAACATAGGCTTCTGCTCAGTATTTCCTAGGAATCGGTCCAGGCTCTGTGACCTTTGCAGCTGACAGGCAAATCACCATGTGGTTTGCTGTTGGATCCCAAACTCCAGCTGTCTGTTTGCCTGATGATAGTTCCAAGAAAGCCATTTTGGTCTGCATTTTAACTGGTTCATCTGTACATGAACAGAGGAGAGGGTATATATCAAAAGGGGTTAATTTGGTCACACAGGCATTTCAGTTGCCTGTCACATGGTGGTGAAGGGAATTGAAGTGCAAGCAAAAAAAAAAAAAGTGCAAGATTAGGGTTACAGCGCTGATATTGAGAGTTAGCAAGAGGTATGGCTATCAACTTCTGCAAAGTAATAGGAAAAAAATTAATTTGTGATAGTAAAAACAACAGCTCATTCTTACACATAGAATATTAAACACGTGTAAATTTGACTTTATTATTGCCTAGCAAATATTGCTGAATGAATGTAATCAGTTAACCTTAGGCAGAACGGGCATGTATTTATATGTTCAGTAAACAGATTTCTCTATATATCAGAGATTCAGTAGGAACAATTTAGATAACTAAGTATTGGTAAATAGTACCGTTTCAGATATCCTCATTTGTCCAAGATATTTGCAAAGGACAGAGAAGCTCAGGACCTGTGAGAAATCCATCCTAGAAGAGAGAGGTCCTGTGCTGTGTCTATCGTCTGAAATAATCTGAAATACCAGTGTTTGGTGCGGGGGTGACACACAGGTGCCTAAAATAGGGGCAATATAGATACAGTATTGAGAGCTTGTTGAAAGTCTGCTTTTTCAAATATTGCAAGAAAATGTCTATGCCTATTGATACAGGGCTTACAAACTAAATTGACACAAACATTTCCTCTGACAAAAATCTTGCTTTTGGTTATAACTTAAATTCTCTGTGTATTATTTTTTACGTTGTATGATACATGTGCTGATTTGTCCATTAATAGGACTGGTAGCAGGTTATTTTATTGTGCACTGTTCGGTTGAGTCCATAGTTCTGTTTTCTCCAAAAGATGTAGTGGAGCAAGGGAGAAGACTGAGAAAGATTGAACTTGACAAAAACAAAAAACTACCCAACCACAAGTTTTTTGTGGAAAGCTTAAACATATGTGAATGCACAAAATTTAATATCTGAGGATTCTTGGCAAAAGATTTCACAAAAAATAGTACCTTATTCCTCTGCAAAAATGACATTTTTCTTTCAAAGCCTATTTTAGAGTTATGCCTTCTTTCCATGGTTCTACTTTTGGGTCAACACATCAAAATAATTCCTCTGTAGATTTGCCTGAGAAGTGTGCCTGTGGAGAACAAACATATTTAAAATAACTGTTTCTGTATTTTGAGAATGGATATTAAGAGATTGGGATGTTCAGAAGTGTAGCATTTTCCTTAGATGCTCTTCTGAAAAGAGAAACTATATAGAGCGCTCAGGCTGATGTGCTGCAAGAGGATCTAAGGACTTGTATTTACTATTGAGTGAAAGAGTAGGACTGTCGGGTCAGGTTTATAGCTGAGGATACCACTCTCATTCAGGTTAGCATACAGCTGTAACCTAGCTCGGCTTCCTGTCATCCTGTGTCTTGACTCATGTATTTGCTTTGCTTGGCTCTTCTAACAGATACCACCTCAGTATGGTCAGCAAGGTGTAAGCAGCTACTGCCAGCAGGGCCAGCAACCATATTACAACCAGCAGCCGCAGCCTCAGCATCTGCCACCCCAGGCACAGTATCTGTCACAGGCCCAGCAGAGGTACCAGGCGCAGCAGGTAAGCGCAGTCTTCCGTTGCTTGCAATCACCTTGGAGCATGAAATAAAAACGTTCTGTGTGAGAACAAACAAAAGCCAACCCCACCTCACCCCACCCCACCTCTTTACAAGATAGCACAGTTGAAATCAAAATTAAATAAAAGCAGAATCAGACAACATCTTTCTGAAAAGTCTTGGGGTATGTACAGCAAATATACATGCACATACTTTCAGGTTTTCTTTTCATGAAGCTTTTTTGAATAAAGCCAACTTATATACCCCAGCAACTATTAATTCTTTTATTTTTAAAAAGAAGTAGCAGTTTCTTGATCAGATGTTAGTGAAGGCTGGAGATTTTCGATTTTCTTTGTGTTTTGTTCTGTTTTCCTTTCATACCCTTTTTTTTTTTTTTTTTGGAGGCAGATGCTGTTGATAGCTCCTGCATCTAATATGGTCACCGTTTTCTTTTTATTTTGTTTCATTTTTGAGGAGGATAGAGGAGTTCAAAACCTTCTGGAGCTGCTTTGTCAAGCGAGTTGCTTAAGACGTGTTTTTAATTGATATTAAAAGTATGAAATTGAGTGTTTTCAGTTTGCACATCCAGTTAGTTAAACTGCATAATGCAATACTCATTGCAGTTCTTGATTAGTGTTTTATATGCCAGCCAATAAGTGATTTTGTTTTTAAGGAAGATCAGAAGCAGCAGTATATGGGTCTACTTCCTGGAGCTTGAAAAATACCCAAATTTTATGTACTGAACAAATCTTGGGTATCCATAGTTCATATAGCTGTATGTGTAGGCTGAGTTTTATCCAGTCTCAGCTCTCTTAATCAAAGGGAGTGGTCTGGAAATGGAAGGATGAAACTAAAGCATACTCACCATCTTGGGAAATCTAGCAAAAGTGAGTTGCTCAAGGCTGGTTATTAGTGGAAGCATCATCACTTTCTGCAGGTCAGTGGGGAATTCTGTCAGGCTTGGTTGATTAACATTTTAGAATAGTGCTGGTACAACGTAGAAATCTTAACTGTATAAATAGTGTGTAAAACAAACTAACAAAAGGTGCCGTAAGTAGCAGTGATACAGGATGCTCCCCCCCTTTGATTTTAAAGCAAAGTTATGATAATTTGACTGTGTGATTGCATGTTAATTTTTCTTCATCTACATTTTAAAATTCCACTGAGAATTAACTTTTTTCATTAAAATGCTGGATCATTTACGAAACAGAATTAATTGTATCTGTGATATTCTTGAAAATGTCACCTCTTTCCACCTTTTGGTTTATATGTAACTGTGACTTTAAAGACTGCAGTTTTGTCTTTTCATTTAATTTTCTTCTTTTTTACTTGGCATTAAACGCCTGGTTTCTTTACTACTTGTATATATTGTGTATAGGCATCTTGGTAGAGTCTTAGCAGGTTAAGTCCTAATAGTACAGCCTATGAAATAGTAGTAGGGCTCTTAATTTCTAAGGAAACACAGCTCCTCTCATGTGCGCGTATCACAGTTTGTAAAATGAAGTTGTTCGTTGCTGTCCTGGACACCTCATCATATTTTATGTATTGTCAGTTGAATGGATTGAGCATTTCAGCTTTACAAATACCTGAGACGTGCTGACTCTGCAGAACGACATAAGAGATAACAAGATACTGATTTATCTGTTAATGCATGTTCCAATTAGGTAATTTTTTGCCCTCATATCCGGTAAAGTGAAGGTTTGTGCAGTGAAGTAAAGGATATCATAGAAGAAGGTAAAACTGAAATGAGAGGAAAGCCTCCCATATATTACAGATTGCCTAGAGCTGAGGCAAAGAGGAAGGCAAGGAGATTCGGAGGTAGGAGAAAATATCAGCCCCCCTGTAGTCAAACAGCTTCACTGAGGATTTGAGGGTAGATTGGGCGAGTG